ACAAAGAGCAGGCATGTATAGGTTTCCTACTGGGGTAGCTTATTTTAAAGTCCAATTTGATGTTTGATCTGATCCTGGAGAATTTTAAATATGAAAACGGGTCCTATTGCTTCCAATAGTCATTTTTAGAGAATATAAGCTGCAAAGGTTTGCAACATATGTTTGTCCAAAAATTTGTCAACAGGATAGATTTGCTACTTGTATGAAATCTCTATTTAAGGGTATACTAAAATATATTAAATAAATTGGAGGTGGGGGGGGGGGGGGGGGGGGGCCAATCTTGATAAATAAAATTAATCATAACATTAATTGAAGATTAAAACAATTTATATATTTGAGAAAAAAATATCAGCATCTTTTAAAGAGATTTTTGTTGTTAGTTGAACAAGATAATATAAGTTGTCTAAAACATTTGAACATTAGAATATTTCAGGGGACAAAATTGGTCATGAAATATAACTAGGAAACATGTAAAATATAAACGTTTTGAAAATAAGTTATTTTGCCTGAAATAAGCAAGCCTTTTTCTTTGTAAAGAACAAAGCCACATGCATGGTTTGAAATTTTTTCTGCAGATTTATGTTTTACAAATATATTACGTTTTAATTTGGTTTGGTTTGAATGTGGTAGTTGTTATCTACTATTCAGTTGGGACATGGCTATTAGTATGTTTAGATATATATAGCTTATGTTTTTGTATCAAACAATGGATGCAAATTCTTTTAACGCTACTCCAGGAAATATAATAAATAAGCCTCAAGATTTTCCCCTACCAATAAATTTGTAAAAAATAGCTTACAGGCATGTAAACCAGTACATTGTAAATATGTCAATATGGGTCATGTTGTAAAAATAATGTCAAATCAATTATAAAAATATTTTTACACCATTAACAAAAGATCCAAGAGAATTTGGAGTAATAATATTTACGATGTTTACTCTTCTAGCTAATTTTAAGAACAACAAAAAATGCCAAAAAGAGGGATAAAACTGTCCATTACTTTTACTTACATGGTGAAATGGTGGTCATTGTGGCCAGTAGTCCATCAATTTTTAATGATACAAAATAAAAAATATGTTCAGGTAAAAAACTACTTGTTTCCTAGGTGTAATACACAGAGGTGAAAATAAAGGGGACCCTTGATTAAACTGATATGAAATCTCAATGGGTGAATTGTTTTTATAATCAACTATCAATAAATTTCATCTATACAGTACTTCTTTAAGTTATGAAAAGAAAATATTGTTTAATTTTTATTTTCTATGTGAAAAAATATGAACGAAATGTGTAAGAATTAAATACTCATATAAATTACAACCCTAACAGAACCCCTGATAAAATTAATGAATTATAATACATTAATCCTTATTAACAGTTTGACTATATTATGTTTATAACATTCACTTTAAACAATGTTGTTCAAGCCATTATCAATCTTAAGAAAATGATTTGAACTGTTAAAAATACATATCTATGATATATATATTTCCTACATAAAAAAAATTGTGAAATAAGACTGATATGACTTTACAGCATTGTCTCCCTGAAATTTGTTTCTTTATTTTTTAACAAGCTCATTCAAATCAAGCCACACTGTGTTTGGTAGACAACAGTATGTATTGATATTAACTCCATGCTGCTTGCAGTCATATTTCTATGTTCAATGAACCATGAAATCTGGGGTAAACCCTAATTCAAAATTTCATTCAACTGATGAGAAAACACTTCTTTATAATTGAATTGCATGTTCAACCCATTCATAATGCATCATTTAAATTTACTTTTGCTAGAGATATATTTTCAATTGCTATGATAAGGGAAATAACTCTGAAACTTATTGTCCACTGATTATCAAAGTTCCACACAATACAGAACTTGGAGATCATATTTGTGAGGTTTTTGATACAACAAATTCAGACTACAAAAGCTTTTCGTTCAATAAAAATGTTCATAGACACTTTATGTCCAATTTTTTTCTGATGACTCATAAGAAGAAAAACTAGGTTGTACATGTATAAGGTAACCTGAGAGACAATTCCATAGGCTATACAACTGTAAACATCATAAAAAAAAAAAACACACATTTCCTCATTGACAATCTCTTCATATTCACAATTAGAATTATATGAAAAATTACTCAAGATATCAATAATTGAACTTTCCAAAAGAATCAATGTTCTACTGGGTTCCTAAAATTCCAGTTTTAGTCAGGCATGCATTTATGTTATTAAATATAAGGAACACTCCTTTTTCTATTCATGTATTCAATGAAAGATTGTTGTAAAGGTATTCCTTTTATATAAATTTATAAGATGAAAAATCATAGACACATTTCTAAAAACTAGATACATGTACTACAAGGATGAGTGTGGTCAAATATAGTTCCAATTGGCCCAATAGTATTAGAGGAGAAGATTTTTGTAAAAGTTAAGGACAACAGACACCAACTAAACCCAATGTCATTCATTGGTGAAGGTCAAACCAGTATTTAAGCAAAACAGTTATTTTTCAGATGTTATTAGATGCAGCTTCATTTTTTCTGATTTGAATGGATTTTTAATGTTTTCAAATAATCAATTACATTCTTAAAGAAAGTTTCAATGGAAAATTGGGTAACAGCACTTCTTACATTGACACCCTTAGTTAAGACATGTAAAATACATACCATTGGTCTTCATGGTCTTTTAATTAAACTTACAATAATGAAAAAGAACATATTTATGTTTTTATTTTTAAAGAATTCTTTTTTTACTAGCATTAATCATTTAGTAAAACTGAATTGCATCAAAATCTTGTTGGTGATCATGAACATGCATGATATGCATGTGCCTTAAGTTCAGTCAAACTAAATGTAAGTAAATTTTTATGAACTTTTGATATGTTCAAGGAGCAACACAAGTTAATCAATACACAAAACACAAATACAACAATTATTGCCATCTGCTCAAAAAACAAATATAATGTATACTAGAAATGAGCTGACAAATTGACAGCAAACTGGGTTTTCTGTATTTTGTAGCTTACAATTGTTGAACTGAAGAGGGCATTCCTTCAGAAAAATCCAGTAAAAAATAGAAAAACAAACAAGATTCAAGATTTTATTAACCAATCATGGACCCTAAAGGGATATAGACTTAAAATACAACTATTTCACAATGATTATCATAGCAAAACAAATTATTAAAGGTACCTTGGAAGTACACAAATAATTGTACTAAAAGAGGCAAACAATATATTATAATTTAATTTAATTTTTGGTGTTTTAACGCCACTTTTAAGCACCGCTTTTGGGCTATTTCGTGGCGGCCAGTTTTTTTTGGTGGAGGAAGCCGGAGTGCCCGGAGAAAACCACTGACCTTCGATAGAAAAACTGACAATCCTAGTCAATTAAGATTGGAGTCGAGTGCACCAGCACGAGCGGGGTTCGAACTCACAACCTCAGTGTTGACTGGCTAGTGATTACAGTAGTAACTACTTAGACCACTCGGCCACCGAGGCCCCTCAATATATTATATTGTATATCATGAAATATATGACTTTGTTCATATTAGCATACACTTACATTGTAAATTGGAAGGTTTTCTTAAATAAAGTCACTTTTTAAGTGTATTTTTTATATCTTCCATAGTCATTTACCATATAAATCTGCTAAGACAGGACAAGTTAGAAAAAAATGGAGATTCTTTGGTAATATATTAGTCAAGAAAAAATTGTCTTTGCTGACTAAAACAAGAACATTGTTACAGTAAAAGAAAATGAATTTCATCCTCAACATCATCAGAGAAACATCTATCACATATTCATGAACTTTTAAATTTTAAATACGTACAAATTGTAAAAATTTTAACAGTATGTTTTAAGTTTACTGTTCAATGTGTGATCTTTGTATCTATCAAAATCAGATTTTGAAATATCAATATTTACAATATTTGACACATGTAGAAAATATGTGTACCAAGTGTGTATTCCTTGACAATGTTTTCTTTTGACAATAAGCATTTTCCAGCAATGAGTTCTTAAGACTTTTCTTTTCGAGCCAAATATATAATGATATTTTAGAATATATCCATAACCAAAGGCTAGCATCCTAGTTCACTCATAACAGTAGTCCAAATAATTATGACATCTTGATATAACAGCAAGGATTTGTATAGTAATCCAGGAACATATATATATATATACTGTTCCCAGAGTAATCTTACTATACAAATCCTTGAAAACAGCAAAATTTGTGCTTTTTTTTAACACCAGAATATATTTTGAAAAATGTTGGTTCATCTTTTCAGCTGGGGAAATATTTGATTATTCAACAAAGTTACACAAGACATCTGATTTACATGTAACCTATAAATTAATGCAGAAAAATAAACTACAACAGGACTGATCCAAAATTGTGTCAAGGGAAATAACTCTCTCTGAAAGAAATTGACAAGGGAGGTGTTATACTGCATATTTGTATGGATATTTGTGAATACAAACCATGCTGCACAAATGCTCTGTTGTAGTCTGCAGACTAAAACTAATAAAAAAGATACACATTTTAAGTTTACCTGTTCGATCATTCTTCTGTTTGAACGGAGCTCAACATCTTCAAAAGTTGGACTGTCACGTCGAACAAGCCTAGCATTGCCCCAGCGCCCCATAGCTTTGACTCTTTCACAGCAGCACAAGTACGCCTTCTTGTATTCCCGCTTGACGTTTGAGCGTAACGAAGTATGGTTCCTTTAATGGTTTTTTCACCTGTCACGTGACTAACTTGAAGTTATTTTTAGATTACCGTAATTACCCATTTTATTTTTAAGAACTGTTCATTCATATTGTTCGCAATACCAATCATTATTAGCCAGAATAAGATTAAAAAAGCCTTATGCTTAGATACTGGTCAGAAAACAAATTTATTTTAATTTAAGAAATGCATTTTTGTGGATTAAGAAAATTATTTTTCTTGTAATGTTTGGTTTTTAACCAGACCTAAAAACCCGGAAGCATGTGTTGTTTATAGAAAATGGTTGCCTCCAGTAAAAATAAAAATGCGTTTCTCACGAAATAGAAAAATTAAGTTATATAAGATCTTAGGAATTTTAATAACTGCTGTGATAGTAATTTTATACATACTAGCCGCATTAAAACCTAAAGTAACACCATTATATGCCAACGGTGTCGTTGAGGCGAACATTGGCGATGTCAGGTTTGACTTCTCTACAGGTGTGTTTACATTCACGAATAAAGAACAGAATGTGTATTTAAAGGGATTCGTGTCAGAAACTCTGAGATCAACATCAGCTTTATCATGTAAACCAAAGAGTAAAGCATCGGATAAGAAGTATTTGTGCTTGGTATGGATAAGATATGCAAAGTTAGAGGTAAGAAAACCACAGCCTGCCCAGCAATAGTACAAAGATATCGGGTCCGTTCACTCCCAAAATACACGCATACCCTACATGTTCGCACCACCCTGGGTCCGTACGCACCCTATTTTTATTCAAATACCAGTTGAATTATACATGTTATAAGATGTTTTTTATATAAGTGTTTCTTGTACGTTTCTTTTTTTTTTATATAGATTAGACCGTTGGTTTTCCTGTTTGAATGGTTTTACACTAGTCATTTTTGGGGCCTTTTATAGCTTGCTGTTCGGTGTGAGCCAAGGCTCCGTGTTGAAGGACGTACTTTGACCTATAATGGTTTACTTTTGTGACTTGGATGAAGAGTAAATGTCTCATTGGCACTCATACCACATCTTCTTTTATCTATATATCAAAATATTTATATTTTTTTAAAAGAAATACTTTTTTTTGTGATTAGATGATTAATTATTTATTGTGATTTATGTAAGATTACTGTTAATTGGTATCATGTTGGTATTTACAAAGCTAATTTGGAATTATTGTTATGTGTTTGGTGTAAAGTAAAATATATAAGTACATGTAGTTAGCTTGGTAGGAGTAAATCAATGAAGATTTTAAATGAAAACAAGAGGCTGTCAGAGTGACAGCAATTTGGATTTTTCTGCATGAAAATGATATAAATTTGCAAATCTGGACTCCAAACATGCCCATACAGGATCAAGTAAAAAAAATAAATGAATTTTTGTAGGGTTCAGAAATGGAAAGGCCAAAATCAATCTAAGTATCACTTTTCCCTACATAAAGGTGTACAACGTTAACTCAACAACGATAAAAGCTAAAATCATGAAAATCGATTTAGACAGTAATTTAGGAAACAACATATCTGAATTTGAAAAGATTTGGTCAAAGCGTTTTAAAGTTATTGCAACGACAATGCAGGTTCAGAAAGGAAAGGCCAAAATCAATCTAAGCAATGTTCTCAATAAGTGCTGACAACCAGCAAAATTTGCCACCTATTGCGTGTTTTGTGCCAGCTATTAATTTATTCACAAAAATATGACATACGCAAAAATTGCATAGTCGGGATCTGTTGTACATCTTTTTTTTACTGACTGGTTTCGTCCGCCAAGTGTAAATAATAAAATAGTAAACGTAAACCAGTTTCAAATCATTTGAGCGTTTGAAACAAACCGATAAAATCTGTAAAATCGAAATTGATGTTGACACAGATATTTTCAACAACTCGTTACATACAAACTCAAACGTGAATAGAACGATCAGTGACTACTTTAAGCGTGAGCCGGCTTTACAGTAAAGCGAAGATAAGAAAGCTCGCTTAGTGTATTCTTACATGGATTTAAACTTGTGTGCATTTATGCATCTTATTGTATAATCACCGGAGTATAAAGTAAAATAAAACACAGTATCTAAAGAATTCTAGTCACTTTGGAACCTGGTTAGATTGACACCTGGTATACTCAATTCGACACCTAGTCAAATATATGTTGAATATATATTGTTTTAGTATTTTTAGCAAAAAGATTAAAATAAAGAAGGGGGATGGCCAGAATTAATTATTGTTTATTATCAAGTTATTTTTGTTTCTTCATGTTCTTAGTGTATTTTCTTTGGGCAGCTATATGTGTATTCAAGGTATTGGATATTTATTATGCATGTTTTAACCAGTTAATTTTGATGATAGGGACTCATAGTTTGCCCTTTTATTGCTTCTTATTTTTTCATTATTAAACAACAGCTTTGGTAATGGCTTCATTGTTATTTATTTAAGTTTTTGAAGAAAAAACATCAATAACTACTTGTATAGAGTTAAAATAACAAACATGTCAATAATTTAATTCATATAAGTTATTAATTAATCAATTGAAAAGAAACATATCAAATCAAAACATCAGTCATAGAAGTTTAAAAAAAATTCAAACAATTTACTTCTTAATAACAAGATTATATTTCAATGTACTGAACAAAAGATGAAAAATATCATTTTGTGCTGAACTGACCAACTAAATGCCAAAATGACTTTAAAATAGGTGCCTATTTGCATGATTTGATCAGATGCCGATTTGACTTTTTCTATAGGTGCCGATTTAACTTAAGCTTGTACCCTCTGACCAATGGACAAAAAAAACCAGAGAGGATTGAGTGTAACCTGATAAACTGTTGACACTACATAGTTCCTATTTTCTAGATTTAAAATTTATTATTTTTCTAGCAATATTTTGTCAGTTGCTTACTGCAGGTTGACAGTTTCCTCAGGCAATTCTGGTTTCCTCTAAATATAAATCTTACCAGTTTTTGAATAACTGAATAAAGTATAAATTAATGTTCTCTATGAATTCTATTTGAAACTTTAATACAAGACACTGAGAAATAATATGAAGTGAAGTGTACAATTATAAGGGCTATTCCAGAAATGTCTGTATGGGGGAGAGGGAAGGCACATTAATGAAAAAAAAATTGCATGGGCTACTTCACATATTTTCCCAATCAAAACTTAAACTAAAAGTTAAGGAAAAATTAATTAGAATGGTATTCAAATAAAAAGTGCCTTTCTCTCCCCATACAATCGATTCTGGAATAGCCCTTATATATAATTAGTGATAAAGATTTGCAATATTAAGAAGAACATTAGACATGCAAAGGAGTGAATTGGAAGCAAGCCATGTCATACAAAATCTGCACAAAAAATCACATTCATTTTCAATTTTTGAGCAAAAATTTAAATCAGCAACTAAAAATGGACAAATTAACATGAAGAATAAGAGGTAAAATCTATTCAGAACAGCCCAGATGCCACCTCCTGCAATCTAGATTTTCGGAATCCCCCCGCATAACGAGAAGGAGGGATACCACACTCTCCAGCTCAAACCTACCCACCGCCCTCGGGGCCTGCGACGCTCGGTTTCGGGCCTTGCGGCCCTCATGATTGCCACCTACTTTTATTTTACTTCCTCTTATTCAAAAACTTATTGAGAACACTGCTAAGTATCACTGTTCCCTACATAAAGGTGAACAACACAACAACAATATAAGCTAAAATTGTGAAAATTGATTTAGACCTTCATTTAGTCACAGGAAACAACATATCTAAATTTGAAAAAATTTCGTCAAACTGAAAGCGTAATCAAAATATGTATGGACAACGCTCAAAGTATCACTTTTCGCTACTTAAAGGTCAACAAGTCAACAAGGATAAAAGCTCAAATCATGAAAATGGAACTTGACCTTCATTTAGTCACAGGAAACAACATATATCTAAATTTGAAAAGATTTCGTCAAAGTGTTATCAAGTTATTGCACGGACAACGCTCTAAGTATCACTTTTTGCTATTGAAAGGTCTACAACTCAACAACGATAAAAGCTAAAATCCTGAAAATCGAACTTGACCTTCATTTATTCACAGGAAACAACAAATCTAAATTTGAAAAGATTTCGTCAAAGCGTTATCAAATTATTGCACGGACAACGCTCTAAGTATCACTTTTCGCTACTAGAAGGTCTACAACTCAACAACGATAAAAGCTAAACTAGTGAAAATCGAACTTGACCTTCATTTATTCACAGGAAACAACATATAACAGGCTATTATCTCAACTCGGAATTATTTTTAATTATGGAATTTGCATAATTTCTTATGCTTGAAAATTTTAATAAATTCCATGTTTATCATGTTTATTCTGTATTTTAATGTTCTGTGTGGCGCACAACACTTCCTATTACAAAGAAGAATGCACATTTTCAGTAGAATGTACTGTGCGGCGCACAACACTATACAAAATACATTGTATGGAAAGTGTTATGCGCCACTCAAAACATAATAATACAGAATAAACATGGAATTTATTAAAAATTTCAAGCACAAGAAATTATGCAAATTCCATACTTAAAAATAATTCCAAGTTTAAATAATAGCCTGTTATATCTAGATTTGAAAAGATTTCATCAAAGAGTTTTAAGTTATTGCACGGACAACGCTCTAAGTATCACTTTTCGTTATTGAAAGGTCTACAACTCAACAACGATAAAAGTTAAAATTGTGAAAATCAAACTTGACCTTCATTTAGTCACAGGAAACAACATATTTAAATTTGAAAAGATTTTGTTAAAGCGTTTTCATGTTAATGAACGGACACTGTTTGGCAGCCACCTGCCGCCGTATATCCTCATATAACCGATTTTTCCTTCAGAAATCCGGTTAAAAATGAAATATAGTTATTTTTAAGAGCTTGTGACGAGTTTGATAGCCATTTAGAATCTTCTGCCTTTCTTTTACAAGTTTTAGAGACAAATGACTTAGTCATGTTAGTCTTTGATCATGATATGACAATATTCATTATCCATTTCGTCAAAATAATTCACAAAAGAAAACCTGTTTACATTTTTAGAATGTCACTTTATTTTAAAACAATAAATAAAAACTTATATTTTCTTTATTTTATGTCAATACACTAACTAAAGCAGAAGTAAAATCTTATTCAACACAAAACCTTTAAAAAGGGTGCGAACGTGTGGGGTGGGGGGTGGGAACGTGAAAGGGGGCGAACGAGAATGAAAGCGAACATGATTTTGGACGAACCGACTTTCTAGTACAAATATGTGCTGCAAGATATTTAGGACACAGGCATTTAGCCAATACTTTTTATAAGGACGCAAACAAATTTTGGGGTTGTATATTGCTATCATGTCGTCGTCGTCTAAAGACATTTGGTTTCTGGACAATAACTTAAGTTTAAGAGTATGGATCTCTATGAAATTTTACCAAAAGGTTCAATACTACTAAAGAAAGGTTGGGATTGTTTTGGGGGTGATGGTCTCAACCGTTTAGGAATTAGGGGCCAAAAAGGGGCCCAAAACAAGCTTTTTTACTAGTTTCAGGACAATAACTTGTATATATAAGTATATTGATTGCTCTGAAATTGTACCACAAGGTTCAATACCACAAGTCGAAGGTTGGGATTCATTTTGGGGGTAATTGTCCAAATCGTTTAGGAATTAGCATGATTAGGGGCCAAAAAGGGTCTAAAACAAGCATTTTTCTACTTTTCAGACAATAACTTGTGTTTAAGTGTATTGATATCTTAAAATGTACCACATTTAACAAAAAGAAAATGTTCTTCCAATGTTATTTTATTTTGGAAAAGGGGGGGGGGGGGGGTTAAGAATAAATTTTTTTTGGGGGGGACAATTTTTATCCTCAAGAGTTAAGAAATTTTCAAATATTTATTTTTGGAAAAGGGGGGATGGGAGGGTAAAAAAAAAACAACTTTGGGGCCCAATTGGGGGGGGGGGGGGGGGGGGTCAATTTTTTTTCTTGAAGATTTAAGAAATTGTTAATTTTCCAAAGAAAAATTGGGGTCACAATTGCTAATTCTTTGTATATAGTCTGAAAACAGATTTACTAAGTATTGTGCAACAGCACATTGTGTTGCACAAAAGCAAGAAATCTTCAATTGAATATAAATTCAAATCATATAACATATTTTAAGTTCTTTGACTACATTTATTCTGTGTCAGAAACCTATAATGTGTCAAATATTTAATTACAATCCAAATTCATACCTGTATCAAGCTTGAATATTGTTTTCATTTTTGCCCCAACTGTTCAGGGTTGGACCTCTGTGGTTGTATCCAGCTGGGCTTGGCGAATCAGTTTATTTAGCCATATTTTGTAAAGTCCTTTAGGTTATGTTTTTTATGCCCCCGCCGTGGCGGAGGGGGCATTAAGTTTTATCCTTGTCCATCTGTAAGTCTGTAACTTATACACAATGCTAATTACCACAAAATACAGATCAAGTTTGAATTTTGGTGGTATCACTTTTACTGTTTTAGAGTTATGCCCCTTTGCAAATGGAAAAATTGCTGAATTTTTCGTTTCTGTTCTCTAACTTAAGTTAATTATCCTCAACCAAATGTTATGACACTTATACACAATATTTATTACCACAAAACTCAGATCAAGTACAAATGTGGGTAGCGACGGCGTCACTTTTACTGTTCTTCAGTTATGTCCCTTTATAACTTTCTATGCAGTATGCAAGCGGGGGCATCATCTGTGTCCCATGGACACATTCCCCATTTATTCATTGTTGTAAAGGGAGGAAACTATAATTGTTTTTAGAAGCTGACATTAAGAAACAAATTGAAAAGTACTTTTCAATCTAGTTCAAATAATTATGACGTCTTGAAAGGCTACATGTATATTGATTTTTTGCTGTAATGCGGCATCACAGCTAAAGATCATGAAAATAAGAATAGCATTTCGAGGCGTCATAACTATTTGGACTCACTCCAATCAAACATTTAGATTTATCATGTTTATATTCATGATAAAAGTATGTATCAAATTATGAATGTTATAAGAATATTTGTTAAATGGTGATTATTATTAAAATGAAGTTTTTGATATATACAGGTACCGGAAAAGACATGATGGTTATTTAAAAAGTGAAGAAGATATTTTATAATAATAATATGATCCCTCTGATCAATTGTTAGTTGTAAATTACAATGTATCATCATGATCATCTCTTTGATCTAATTCTAGCATGTCTAAAGTACAAATTATACTTTTGTTGTTGAAAATATACCAAACTACAGGAGTCAAGCTGAGTTCAAGCTGATACAAACTTACAGTTATCAGGTTATGAATGTATTCTTTTAACAATACAAGCTGCTTGAGTAGTCCTTTGAAGTACAAAATGTATTAATCTTGCAGCATAAAAGGAACCAAACTGGCATAATTCAATAAAAAAAAAACAGCCAAAATTATATCCAAACAGTTATACAGTCATAGGCAGCTTGCACTGGTGATGGTATTTGGATTTTATGCAGTCGATGGTGTCTGTTTCTCGTACAGTGTATTTCTGAATGACAGTGAATGTTGTGGAACAAATATTTACATGATAATTAATTGGATTTTTCAAATGGTTAATCTTTCTTTTGTCCATCGATATATCATGTCCATGAAAAACAAACTCTATAAAAAAATATATTGATTATGCAAAAAAACCAAATTGAAAGGTTATTAATGTCTTAATCATGTGTGCCAGAAGAATGTCTTGTATCCTCTTGTTTCAGAGCAGCACACTTGATGATCAAATGATTTTTTGTTTAACAGAGTTCTCCCCAGGGCCTTTTAGCATCATGGTTATGTGATGCTATATTGCTAGAAAGTGATGCTATCTGATATTAGTTTCTTAAAAATAGTGTTATGGATGTGATGCTATAGTTTCTAAAAACAAGATGGTATTTCATAATTTCTTGTTTACCAGGATGATATAAGAAATTTCTGAGGAGAACACTGTGTTAGGTACATGTAGTATACGTTACAACATGTATTCCTTTTCAAAACAAACTTCTGTCAAAACAGTTAATGCATATATATGTACATTTAATGCATATATATGTACATGTATATATATGTTAAGAACAATATGAAAAAATGTGGCCAAAACGACACATGGCTGAACTGGTTGTGTGGCTGAACATGCTGAAAAGTCTCAAAAATCAAACATGTATATACTTCTACCAAGTACATCTTTAATATGATCTGCACGGGTAACTTGTGAAGAGTCTGCTGATTCATCACACGGTTATTCACACCAATATGGTACAAAACGTTGTGGTGTCATCAAACATGTCAAAACTCTGTTTCTTAAAAAATTTATAAATCCAATTTCTTGATTATAAATTAATAATGCACACTTGACAACCCTCATTGCAAGTTCAACCAGCCCCAAATACAAGCTAAAGGTAGAAATGTTTGTTCAATTTAATTTTATCATTCTCTATTAACAGCCTAAAACACATCAATGTCATTCTCTTATAAATCTACACTGGACAATTGAATGTTAATGTCTAACATATATAACAAGCATTTTGTAACCAAATTTTTGTTATGCCCCCGCCGTAGTGGTGGGGGCATTAAGTTTTACCCTTGTCCTTCTGTACGTACGTCCCAAAATTGGTTTCCGTTCTCTAACTTGAGTTTGCCTCAACCAAATGTTATGAAACTTATACACAATGCTTATTACCACAAAATACAGATCAAGTTTGAATGTTGGTGGCGTCACTTTAACCGTTCTAGAGTTATGCCCCTTTATAAATGGAAAAATTGCAAAATTTTTAGTTTCCGTTCTCTAACTTAAGTTTGTCTCAACCAAATGTTATGAAACTTATACACAATGCTTATTACCACAAAATACAGATCAAGTTTGAATGTTGGTGGCGTCACTCTAACCGTTCTAGAGTTATGCCCCTTTATAAATGGAAAAATTGCAAAATTTTTAGTTTCCGTTCTCTAACTTAAATTTGTCTGAACCAAATGTTATGAAACTTATACACAATGCTTATTACCACAAAACACAGATCAAGTTTGAATTTTGGTGGCGTCACTTTAACCGTTCTAGAGTTATGCCCCTTCATAAATGGAAAAATTACAAAATTTTTAGTTTCCGTTCTCTAACTTAAGTTTGCCTCAACCAAATGTTATGAAACTTATACACAATGCTTATAACCACAAAACACAGATCAAGTTTGAATTTTGATTGCCTCACTTTAACGTTCTAGAGTAATGCCCCTTTATAAATGGAAAAATTGCAAAATATTTATTTTCTTCTAAATATCAAGTAATTTTAAAATTGGAGTTATCTTCCTTTGTCCATGTTTATAGTTGAATCAACTACAATCAATGCTTTTTACAATGCAATGTTTAATTTTGACTTCCACTGATAAAACACAGATCAAGTTGGATTTGGGTAATGTCACTTTAACCATTATTGAGTTATGCCCCTTTATAAATCGAAAGATTGCAAAATTTTTAGTTTCCATTCTGTAACTTAAGTTTGCCCCAACCAAACATTATGAAACCTATACACAATATTCATTACCACAAAACTAAGATCAAGTACAAATTTTTTGTTTCCGTTTTCTTACTTTAGTTTGCCTCAACAAAATGTTATGAAACTTATACACAATGCTTATTACTACATAATACAGATTATGTACGAAATTTGGTGGCAACACTTTTACCATTCTTGAGTTATGTCCCTTTATAAACATAAAAATTGCTGAATTTTTTTGTTTCTGTTCTCTAACTTTAGTTTGTCTGAACCAAATGTTATAAAACTTATACACAACCGTTCTAGAGTTATGCATGTGTACAAATAGAAAAATTGCATGCATTTTGTACTATTCAATGGTAGTTGGTATACATGTATATAATGAGCATGATGAGGAATTTGTTGCTCATGGCACTCAAAGTAACATTTTCTCAGTAGTTTAGTATTTAATGATTAGATAATTTCCCCATTGATGGTATATATATATTTTACAGGTGATTCAACATGAACATGATAGCTGCCATGATGTCTATTGGACATCAACAAGTCGTGACTTCACTCCACATGATTGTTTCACCTTACGTGGACCACACCACTGGTTTGGAGGTTCCTTATTGTCCAGTCAGTATATGCCACTGCAGTATGCTGATGTTCCGATGCAGCCATATATCACCAATGATATTTTATTTAAGTCAAAAGTTGATAAAGATCGTACAAATGTTTTTGGTAATGTTGTGGAGAGATTTTGGATAAATTCAAATGGAGTTGGTATTGTAGTTGATAGTAGTGTTCCTCTGCACGTTAGTCTGAACGAGTCAGGAAGTAGTCTTTTATGTTTCAAGGGAGATTACAATGAATCACCATTCCCCAATCCAAACAATGAACCACCATTTTTGAAATATACAATTTGTAAAGAAGATAATGTGAAACTGATGAGAGATTTTTTCCAGAGAACTCACTTTGAAAAACCACAGGGAATTCCTGATTTGTCTGTAATGCAGAAGGTCACATGGTCTACAAAAGCACAGTATAAATCTGGATTGAATCAGGATTTAGTTTTAAAATATTCATCAAATGTTACAAAAATTGATAGTAGGAAAATGAACTTTGAAATATATGAACCTTATTCATCTGCATATGGAAATTTTGATTTTAGATCAGACTTTTTCAGAAACTCAGCTCAAATGGTTGGTGTCTTGAAAGAGAACAAATTTGATGTCAGTGCTGTTTTAACACCATTTGTGTCAGTAGACAATAACACTAAAAATTTTGCACAGAATTCAGCATTATTTATTCATGACAATGGAGGGAAAGCACCTACACTTACTGGATGGTATGGTGGGTTAGTCGGAATTTTGGATTTTTCAAATCCAAAAACACAAGAATGGTATAAACAAAAACTAGAAGATATGAAAAGTAATTTCAATCTCAAAAATTTTACTTTCCATGGTTGTGAAACAAATTTTATTCCGTCAAGTCATAAGTCACATCAGTTCTTAAAAAATCCATGTACATTTATTCAAACTTTTGTATCAAATGTGATCCAATATGGCTGCCAGGTAACTTGTGGTCACAAAACACAAAAATTCCCAGTCTATATACATCTAAGTAGCAGAGACTCTACATGGAGCCATTATAATGGGCTCAATAGCATCATTCCTGCTGTTTTGACTCTTGGTATCCTAGGTTACCCCTATGTTATTCCAGATGTTATAGGAGGAAATGGATTCAAGGGAGACAATTTAAATATGACAGTGTTACCCGATAGAGAACTGTATATACGCTGGTTACAATTGTCAACTTATTTACCTGTTATGAAGTTTTCAATCCCACCGTGGGATTATGATGAAGAAATGGTAACATTAACTAAAACAATGTTAAAGAAGCGAGAATCTATTTTACCTTTACTTCAAAAGGCAGCAAGAGAAGCAGAACACACAGGTAAAAATCTCATCTCATTTATTTTACAAATTTTAGCAGCCTGTCCACAGTGTTTTCCCTAGAATTGTTTTGGAAGGATGGGGTTGACTGAAAAGATGGTGGTTATGAATTTTGACATATTTGGGCTTATATAGATATATATTATATGGCTTTCCAAATACCGTTTCGATTCCTAACATCACGGAATATACATTAATTGTCGAAATTCGGATATGGTGTACAAATTTTTGCACCGCATGTTTGCGGTATACTATCTTTTCCGCAAGTTTATTGTTTTCTGTTTGGTATTAAATTAATAATAAAGATCCATTTGTTACACCTTGTGATCCATTTATTTGGCAATCGCCAATGGAAGTCAGCAGGGTTTAAGAACGTCCGTTGTTCGACCTGTTAGTCAAATGCGTTTTGTTTAAATATACTTTTTCACTTTTTTGGTCTTTTGGAAAATGTTGTTTGTGCTGTACTTAGACCCCTCTACCACGAAATTTGTTTTGCATGCACACTATAAAAATTGCGGTTTTTATCCAACTCGATCATAAGTTTGAACGTTGTTTGCAATTTAGGCTTATTCATATTTTTTCTTTGGGCTTGTATTATATTTGCCTTCGGGTTTATATGATCCGGTCATCCTATTTCGACTCTTCAAAATTCAAGAGTCTATCCTAAATTGAGGTAAATTATATGGCCTTCCAAATACCGTTTCGATTCCTAACATCACTGAAGAGACATTATATGTCGAAATCCGGATATGGTGTACAAATTTTTGCACCTCATGTTTGCGGTATACCATCTTTTCCGCAAGTTTATTGTTTTCTGTTTGGTATTAAATTAATAAAAAAGATCCATTTTGTTACACCTTGTGATCCATTTATTTGGCAATCGCCAATGGCAGTCAGCAGGGTTTAAGAACGTCCGTTGTTCGACCTGTTAGTCAAATGCGTTTTGTTTAAATATACTTTTTCACTTTTTTGGTCTTTTGGAAAATGTTGTTTGTGCTGTACTTAAACCCCTCTACCACGAAATTTGTTTTGCATGCACACGTATAAAAAAATTGCTGTTTTTATCCAACGCAATCATAGGTTTGAACGTTGTTTTCAATTTAGACTTATATATATATATATATATATATACATGTAGAGTTATAGGGAATTTCCTGTATCACCATTCATAAGGCTTCTGGGGGAAAGACTGCAGCCATTTTTATACGACCGCAAAAAAATTTTGTGGTCGTATATTGGTATGACGTTGGCGTCGTCGTCGTCGTCGTCGTCGTCGTCGTCGTCGTCGTCGTCCGGCGTCGTCGTCGTCGTCCGGCGTCGTCGTCCGAATACATATTGGTTTTCGCACTCTAACTTTAGTTTAAGTGAATGGATCTTTTTGAAATTTGACCATAAGGTTAAATACCACAAAAGGAAGGTTGGGATTGATTTTGGGGGTTATGGTACCAACAGTTAAGGAATTAGGGGCCAAAAAGGGGCCAAAAATGAGCATTTTCTAGTTTCCAGACAATAACTGTGGAACGGTGTATGGATCTCTCTGAAATTATACTACAAGTTTCCATACCACAAAGGGATGGTTAGGATTTGCTTTGGGGGGTTATGGCTCAAACCGTTTAGGAATTAGGGGCAAAAAAGGGGGAAAAAAAGGTTGTCCTGGTTAATGGACAAATACTTTAGTACAAAACATAATTTAAAGCAGTGTAAGGGAGATAAATCAAATACATCATTGAAATTATCTCCCTTACACTGCTTTTAAATTATGTATAAAGTAATGGTTAATGAACAATAAAGATAATCTAAAACAGTGTAAGGAAGGTAATCCAAATACAATGTTTTGGTTACTTCCCTTACATTGCTTTAAAATTATGTTTAAAGAAATGCATATTTATAAAGGAAGACCAGTAAAAATATCTGCAAATGTTTTCATCTTTTTTTTTACAAAAAAATCCATATGAAAGATTTGACACTATATTTTTATTAATTCTATTATAAAATAGATTAAGTTAGCACTATGGTAAATTTAAATGGGTAATTATGGTTGCCAACTCTATTGGAAATTTGAATTGAGATTATGACCATATCTTGAGGGAAAGAATTTTTTTGGGGGAAAAAGGGGGGGGGGGGATAAAAAGAAATTGTGGGGGGCCAATTTTTTCTCATTTCAGATTTCAGAAATTAAAAAGAATTATTCTTCAAATATTATTTTTTTTTCAAATTTCAAATATTGAAAAATTTCAAGAAGTAATCTTTAATTGCACAGTATGGCGCATTAGATTTGTAAAATCTTTGATCACATTTATTTATTTGTTATGCCGAATCTAACAGTGTATTTAGATTTTTAATTTTGGGTCCAGTTTTCAAATGGTCTACATTAATGTCCAAAGGGTCCAAAATTAAACTTTGTTTGATTTTAGCAAAAATTGAATATATGAGGTTCTTTGATATGCTGAATCTAAACATGTATTTAGATTTTTGATTTTTGGCCCAGTTTTCAAGTTGGTCCAAATTGGGGTCCAAAATTAAACTTTGTTTGATTTCAACAAAAATTGAATATATAGGGTTCTTTGATATGCTGAATCTAACCATGTATTTCGATTTTTTATTTGTGGACCCCGTTATCTAATTGGTTCATATTGAGGTCAAAAGGGTCCAAAATTAAACTTTGTTTGATTTCATCTAAAATTGAATTATTGGGGTTCTTTGATATTCCAAATCTAACCGTGTATTTAGGTTTTTAATTTTGGGTCCTGTTTTTTTTAAATTGGTCTACATTGAGGTCCAAAGGGTCCAAAATTAAACTTAGTTTGATTTTGACAAAAATTGAATTCTTGGGGTTCTTTGATTTGCTGAATCTAAACATGTGTTTAGATTTTTGATTATGGGCCCAGTTTTCAAGTTGGTCCAAGATAGGGTCCAGTATTTAAACTTTGTTTGATTTCAACAAAAATTGAATATATTGGGTTCTTTGATATGCTGAATCTAAACATGTATTTAGATTTTTGATTATGGGCCCAGTTTTCAAGTTGGTCCAAATTGGGGTCCAAAATTAAACTTTGTTTGATTTCAACAAAAATTGAATATATGAGGTTCTTTGATATGCTGAATCTAACCATGTATTTAGATTTTTTATTTGTAGGCCCCGCTATCAAATTGGTTCATATTGAGGTCAAAAGGGTCTAAAATTAAACTTTGTTTGATTTCATCGAAAATTGAATTATTGGGGTTCTTTGATATGCCAAATCTAACCGTGTTTTTAGATTTTTAATTTGGGTCCCGTTTTTTAAATTGGTCTTCATTGAGGTCCAAAGGGTCCAAAATTAAACTTAGTTTGATTTTAACAAAAATTGAATATATGGGGTTCTTTGATATGCGGAATCTAAACATGTGTTTAGATTTTTTATTATGGGCCCAGTTTTCAAGTTGGTCCAAGTTGGGGTCAAAAATTAAACTTTTTTTGATTTCAACAAAAATTGAATATATGGGGTTCTTTGATATGCTGAATCTAACCATGAATTTAGATTTTTTATTTGTGGGCCCCGCTATCAAATTGGTTCATATTGAGGTCAAAAGGGTCCAAAATTAAACTTTGTTTGATTTCATCAAAAATTGAATTATTGGGGTTCTTTGATATTCCAAATCTAACCGTGTATTTAGATTTTTAATTTTAAGTCCCGTTTTTTAAATTGGTCTACATTAAGGTCCAAAGGGTCCAAAATTAAACTTAGTTTGATTTTAGCAAAAATTGAATTCTTGAGGTTCTTTGATATGCTGAATCTAAACATGTGTTTAGATTTTTGATTATGGGCCCAGTTTTCAAGTTTGTCCAAGTTGGGGTCCAAAATTAAACTTTGTTTGATTTTAACAAAAATTGAATATATGGGGTTCTTTGATATGCTGAATCTAACCATGTATTTTGATTTTGGACATTGGACCATAATAGGTAAATTAAAAAAATTCAAGTTCTTAGACCACATTCTTTCTGTGTCAGAAACCTATGCTGTGTCAAATATTTAATAACAATCCAAATTCAGAGCTGTATCAAGCTTGAATGTTGTGTCCATACTTGCCCCAACTGTTCAGGGTTCGACCTCTGCGGTCGTATCAAGCTGCGCCCCAGCGAAGCATTTTATTATGCCCCAGCTGTAGCGGAGGGGCATTAAATTTTACCCTTGTACGTATGTCCCAAAATTGGTTTCCGTTCTCTTATTTTAGTTTGCCTCAACCAAATGTTATGAAACTTATACACAAAGCTTATTACAGATCGAGTTTGAATTTTGGTGACGTTACTTGTACCGTTCTAGAGTTATGTCCCTTTACAAATGGAAAAATTCCTGAATTTTTCGTTTCCGTTCTCTTTAGTTTGCCTTAACCAAATGTTAAAAAAACTTATACACAATGCTTATTACCACAAAACACAGATTGAGTTTGAATTTTGATGGTGTCACTTGTACCGTTCTAGAGTTATGCCTCTTTACAAATGGAAAAGTTGCTGAATTTTATTTTCGTTCTCTAACTTTAGTTTGCCTCAACCAAATGTTATGAAACTCATACACAATGCTTATTGCCACAAAACTCAGATCAAGTACAAATTTAGGTAGCGTCACTTTTACCCTTCTTGAGTTTTGTCTCTTTATAACGTATATGCAAGCGGGGGCATCATCTGTGTCCTATGGACACATTCCCCATTTATTTTTTCTGTGTTGCTGTTTCAGCTATAAAAATAAAGATTCAATATTGACAAGCACAAAAGTTTATAAGAATAAAGGCAGACAAGCATGCATATGTCATGTATATGGTCATGAATATCATTCATATTATGAAATAAATTATTATGCGAAAAATATTTATGTGTACATACATTTTGCAGCATCAGCATATTCATGATATTAGTTAAATCAATGAGATATCAACTGATAACAAAAAAAGATTCTTTCACAGTATACGTTATATAGTCAATAACAAATGATATCAAGGCATCACAGGGAATTGCAATTATGATTAAACTTTGGATGTTTTATTTTCAACATAAAAATCTTTTACAGCACATGCACATGTACAGTTTATTGTTTTTGTGACACACAAGCTAATTATTATCACTGTATGTGGCAAATCATTTGTTGATTGTTGACTGTAGGTGATTTAATATAATTTAGTAGATAAGAAATAAACGTAATCAAATGGTACAGAATATACATGTAGAACTTTATACTTGTAATTTTTTAGTTACCATTGTGTCGATATGGGTTAATCATGCTAATAGATTCAGTTTTGTGACGCTCTTTATTTGAATATTTTCTGATCTATACATATACAACCACACCTCGTCCTTTGGTTTTATCAATTACCTGTGTTATGAAATTGACAAAAATTTCACAGTTTTACATGTATATAAATTCAAAAAGTCCCATTCATTTTGATATTTCCATTGTCGGTAATTGTTTGAACTATTGGATTCATGTCAAAATTATTGTTCACATCTATATTATGTAATTTTGTTTTATATTTTTGGGAAACATTCTTCACTGATTTAATGATTGATTTTCCGGTATTAAACTTGTCTTACATATATTGCCACACTGATTATTTTGAATACATTGTGATAAGAACAAAATACTTTTTAGCATGTATAGTAAACTGTACATGGTATTACATTTTTGTTGTACATACCATGGTTAAGCAAAAAGAAGCTTCTCATATATATCATAGATCATGTAGATCACACAAGTAATTTATTAATTTTCATATATATATAATGGCTAATAATTAATTAAGAACATGAAGAATATAAAGTTTTTTGTGTCTCCTGCTATGAAATTCGTGGAAGGCAAAACAATGGTCATGATGGTGTTGCTTTTTCAGCGGCATCAACAATTGTACAGATATTTTATATAAAGTTGCATTACTATCAGTACATATCAGTTTGACAACTATTTCAAGGCCCCCCTCATATGTCATGGTCCAGTGACTTTCAATTATTTACCAATTTTCAATGTTAAGTTTTCTGCTTAAGTTAGATTGATAGCACCTGCTTATGATAGACAATGGTCATGATGGTATGTTTTATAAAGTTGCATTACTATCAGTACATCTCAGTTTGACAACCATTTTGACGCTCTACCCTCTACATGTATGTCATGGTCCAGCAACTTTGAATTAATTAGCAATGTTGCTATCCAGATTGTCTTTCTTAATTTTCTGTCAACAGGCGAGACATATATCTCTGCATCAGCAGTTTATTGCTCTTCAACTTCATACTTTATTTGGCCTTTTTAACCTTTTTTGAATCGAGCGTCACTGATGAGTCTTTTGAAGATGAAACGCGTGTCTGGCGCAAATACAAAATTTCAATCCTGGTATCTATGATGAGTTTATTTACAAAGTTATTATTGTATGGAATTCTGGGCTTTTTGATAAAAAATCCACATTTTTCATTTAGAATTCAATCATGTCAAGTGCATGTCATACATATGCATGTGTCAATTGGTTAGATTTGGCAACCTGGAACCTAACCAAAAAACAGGAAAAGACCTAGATAAATGATTTGACTTTTCATGAAAGGATTGATACATGTTTAGCATGATCAGTTTTGCTAAAGTTTCACCAAACAGTTACAGGAGTGAGGTAAACATGGCCTGGTATTTACAGAAAAAATCTATTTCTTCACCTTTTTCAGCACAGCCAATTGCAACAACTAGAACTGTTTGTTGTACAGAGTTGCAGATAAAATCAAATTGAAAAATATAAACTAGATAATCATCAAAAATTCATAATCATACTGCTCAATCTCTTATAAAATAGTGGCACTGTAAATATATATTGTATGCTTTCACTGGTACAACTACAATCCATACAATGCGATAGTTGATATATATTTCATTTCTTGTATTGACAGGTGCTCCAATAATTAGGCCATTATGGTGGGTATCACCCACAGACCCAGATGCACTGGCAGTAGGTAACCAGTTCTTGGTAGGAGAAACTTTACTTGTGGCACCAGTTTTGTTGCCAGGGACAACAGAGATTGATATTTATTTACCAGAAGGTACATGGCATGATGAAATCAATCATAAAGATTGGGATGGAAAACAATGGCTGAAATCTTACAGGGTTGAACTTCATCAGATTGCTACATTTACACAGGCTAGAACTATTGGTACATAGAGGAAAATTGTTTAATCTATTGTTTAATCTATTGTGAATTTGTATTTTTAAAGTAATTAATTTTTATCATTGGTGCTAAGGAAACTAACAAACAAAAAATGCATAATCAAATTTGAACATTTCTTTTTTAATCCTATAAGACATGCTTGTGTTACATCAATTTGACTGTACCTGTACATATACTTTTAATTCTTAGACTTATTGGACTGACAAAATTACCAGTTGAAATCGTACAAAATAAAGACTCCTGTAATTAACCATTTATCATATATTGATCATAAGTCATGTTTGTAGGCTAGGTCATCCATATCATTTTGAAAATTGTAAAAAAAAAAAGATACTTCAGCGTTAGCATGGTTTTGTCAAAGTAAATTTGGTAAACACAAAAAGTGTGAATACCAATACACTTTACAAATATACATGATATAACTTTTCATGTTTATATTGTTGTAATCACGTCATCTAAGCATGCTTATTCTTTTCTGAAATCTGTAAAATTTATGGATATATATATATAATCCTTCCCCAGATACATGAAAAGGTACTTGCCCTTACACATGTTAAATAATACTGTGGAGAGAAAATGAAAATATGCAGAGTTTAGAATTTTGAACAGTTCTGGTTTTGAACATCTTTATAGAGGGCATTATAGATCAACAGACATGACAGGGTAATATACTGTTAATGTAAAAAGTCGAAATATTTCTGTGATAGTGTAAATGTATCAAGTACTTTTGAAGGGGAGGGGCAAGATTTTATTTTTAGGTGAGAAGTATTTAGGTATGTTTATACATAATTTGTTATTGTGTAATACCACCATAACTTGTCTCATATCATTCTTTGTAAAATCAACCCTTTTAAAAAAATTATTACCAGTTTAGCATGGTTTAAATAAAATCACACTCTTTTTCCAAGAAAGCAGAGATATGGTCTACAAACAATCCATGAAGGTGTCATACCACCAAAACAATGATGTAACCATATAGTGGTAGTACATAATTTATAATTTAAACAGTCATGACAGTATTACCCTGCCATGGAATGTCAATGAAAAGAGACAAAGTTTAGGATTTAAAATTTTAAAAGAGGGCAATTTATAGATCAACAGACATGACAGGGTGATACTATTGCTGTTTAATACATCTGGTCAAATGTAGAGCAGTTTCAGGTCAAAAGTTGAACAAAAGCCAAAGGTCATCACAATGATTTTAGCAAGGGCTATTTCATACTTACAACAATTAAGTAGATCAAATAAAAAAGGTTTGTAAGTAATAAACAATTAACCCATATGAAATGTTTCCAGTTTATAACAACATTCACGAAATTCTTTTTTCTAGGCCTTATATAAACTTTTATAATGAGTGATTCATTCAAATAAAGGTATATTATAGCATATGACTGAATTGATTGTTTATGTTAATATCTAGTTTCCGTTTTTTGGAAATATGTTGCAATTTTGATACTTTTGTTGATTTAATCAGTTTATGTAATTAACAATCAATAAACTAGGATAGTTAGTTATGTAATGACGCTGTTTATATATAATGCAAAATGTATGTGATATCTTTGATAACATTTTAAATTTACCCATCTAAATTTTAAGTTCACATATTGTATAATGTGGCAGTAACTATACATGTTATTATGAATTATAATACTACACACACATGCACAATCATTATAATTTATGATAATATAAAGAACCATAACTAATACATGAGAGATCTAGATCTGACTAACGTGTTAGGTTTTTTAAACAATTGAATAGGTGTAAAAAAAACATGGTAATAGTTCTCTCATTTTGTAAATAAATCTTGGGCAAACAATAAAAATTTCGGAATTGAGGGAAAATGAAAATACATGTACATATCTAGAGAAATTTTATAATAATAGTTGTATCTAAGCATGGGAGGAATATATGATTATGAATTATATAAGGCCAGAGTTGTTTCTTTATTGTTGGTTGAGATACCTTAAAATTTAAAAAAATTTCAGATAAAATAAATTGAAGTTTCATGCTCTTTCGTTCCCGATGACTCCATACAGTACATTATCCGTGAAATATATATATAACTGTAGCCATTGATGTCAAATTATGTGCTATTTTATTCATCAACAGAAATGATGAAACTGTGAAAATTAAACCCCCTAAAATTTACCCGTCATATGTTACTTCAATAAAAGGTGACTGCATCTGATGACATCAAACAGAAGCAGAAAATTGTAACAAAGAGGCTGCATGCTTCCTTGTTACGGGGTCATAATTTTATATGTAAAATCATTAGAAAAACATTGAGGTCAGCTGGAGATGCTGAAGACGTAAACTTAGCTCTAGCACTGAACTAATACCAATTAAACTCACAGTAAGATTTTCTAATTTAATTCCAAGCCAAGTTCTCATACAATGGTAAATGTCAATACAATATGACTCCTACTGTAAAAGTACAATTCTATTGATGTTACTATCCTACTCTGTTCCTACTTTAAATTTACAACATATTTATAATATTTTATAATGACAAGTTATGAGTAAATGAATTCTTTCTAATTAGCACAATAGTCACAATTACAATTCTGTCAACTTATAATACTCATGCTATACGTCTGGATAACAACTCAACCTGAACTTGCTAATTTTTATGACAGATAAATAATTTGAATTAGTCCAAATCTATACAAAAATGTTGAAATTTAAAATAACTCAAAATTCCTGTATGACAAAATTATCTGCATTTGTCTTAAAGATATTACTGAAACAGATCTTAACTTTTTTAAGTGCACAGCAACTCTTGCCAGTGTCAATACAATTTTTAAAGTGTAGCAAGTTTTTTGAATGGAAAAGTTGTGTCTCACTTTATGTATCATGTATGTAGTTATAGAATTTATATCATTTATGGTATAGAACCACTAATTCATAGCCCCATTGCTTTCTATGTTAAATTCTGCAATTTCAAGCATTATTGGCTACTTAGTCCTCAGTTCAAATAAAGTGGCAGTCATTTCATGTAAAAACTATACCTTATCCTGACTTGTGCTGAAAAATTTAACATACCATGTTCTTTCTGACCAGGTCTGAATTAGTGGTTCTATACCTTATACATAATGGAGAGATAATGATTGCCAGTGATTTCAACATCCTACATGCTGATGTCCTCAGAAAAAACATGAGAAGAGGGATTGTCCCCAATCTTTAAATAACTCCTTAAAGGGAATAACTTGTAATCGGTGCTAAATTTAGTGTGTAGCTTATATATATAATTTATGATAAAAATCTATTTCTGTAAACAAATTTTCACCTTTTATATTAAAATTTAAAGCTTGATGTACTTTCTATTGTTGAAGACTAGATATTGACCTCAACATGTCTTTTGGTTTTTTTCTGTCTTTGCTGTCTAATTGCCTACCTTGTACCCAACTTTTCATTTTAAGACATTTAAACAAGGAATTATTTGAATATAGAATAATTTTGAATTCTGGAAAATTGATAAAAAATGTATGATGAAAACTAACCCAACTAAGGAGGGTTAGCCATGCACACATGGCAAAGATGGTTAATTAATTCATACTGAATCATCAGTGAAAGTAACCTGTGATCAGTTTCGCAAAAAATCTTCCAACCAAAGTTGATCTTAAGTATACTGAATTGTTCATGACTTAGGATCAACTTTACTTTTCAAGTCTTTAGTCATAGGATATTTTGTGAAACTGGTCACTGAACCTTAGCCTTGTGTGCATGGCTAACCCTATTTTAGTTGGGTTAGTTTTCATCATACAATTTTAACAATTCAAAATTGTTCCAGATTCAAATTATTCTTTGATTTCATATTCATTTTTGTCCTGTTATTCAAAAGATGTTACTGTTTTTTAGCTTCTATTATTTAACAAGTGTAACATACATCTTGCCAATCATTTTTAACTACCGGTATATGACTAAGTTCTTCCCAATTATTTTGGTCATATATTAATTGATTACTATAATTAAACAAAGAAAAAAAAATGAAAATAAAAATACAATGAACTGGTTTAATTTTAACTTAAGAAGTTTCTTTGTTATAAGATGCTTTAATACTGGTTTATAGTGCAGACAAGATTTGTTTTATTGTAATTACTTTTTTCAAGCAAAGCTAATGTGCCATAGTTTGTTGTTTCAAACCTTCAAATTACTAAATGTATGCATATGTATTTTACATTTAATTGATAACTAGCAAATAACTTAAATATCACAGAATTTTTAAAAAATGTTAGAATTTATGTTAGTTAAATTTGACAATTTTGGTTTATGTCATTCCAGAGTTGTAGAACTGTGTTAAGAATTTGGGTACAATGTGAAAATTTGATAACTTTTTTAGCACTTACCTTTTTATGTAAAATAAAGTACATGATGTACATGATCAGATGTAGTACCGTCTAAGATAAATATGAATAATTTTTGTGTTTTATTGTATCATGTGCTTTTTCTATTGTTGATGGGGGGTAGTTTCAAAAGCATGATGTTTAAGTTTATATGCTATCTATGTTATGATTACTTGCTATATGTGTTTACTTGTATGCTATGTATGTCAGTGTCATGTTATGTAATATTAGGTATGCCATGTATGTCAGTGTCACAATATGTTATATCAGGTATGCCATGTATATGTCAGTGTTACCTTATGTAATATCAGTTTCATGTACTTTAAAAATGATATAAATGTTTATACTTGCATAAGACTTGTATCTAAGTATTTCATTGGTAGCCTAAATGTCTTGTATGTTACTGGTTACCTGTATGATAGTATTCCTGTGGTACCTGTATGTCTCATATGTTACTGTGTGATAGTATTCTACTGATAACCTGTATGTCTACCAAATAAGAGCATGTATAGTACACAGGTTTTAACTTCAAAATTCTAATTTCCAGGCAGGGGTTTGGATTTAAGATTACTTCAAGCAAGAGTTCAAAGTAAAAGTTAATTTCACAATATTTTTATTTTTGTTCCACCATGCTTCCTGTAGGTTGATAATGCACATGTAACCTGCATGTCTTGTATTTTTCTTGTAGCCTGTGTTTGCCTGGTCATCTTTATTCTGGTATTTCACTTGAATCTAAACCATCTCTCCAGCCTCTTGCAGATTGCTTGCCTTACTGGGTTAAACTAAAGATTCTAGAATTTGTATTTGTTTCTATCCTCAGGAAATCCTGGGCATTTAGGAGCAAGAATAAAGATTTTCTGGCTTGGATTGGGAATAATGTATCAAAGTATTTGCTATGTGTTGCCCTGTGTGCAGGCACTTCCTGCTGAGTGAGATGGTCAAATATAGAGTATATTCATATTTCATATACATAAATGTATATCCCCTGGATTATTTATACACAATTTGCCACAGGATGCTAAGTAACCATCGATCAATCATTGGTTACCTGATTATTAGTATGTACATTTTGTAAATTCACCATATTTATGTAGCCTGGATTTTGATTGGTTGATCAGTCACCTGTGTGTGTTTCACAACCACCAGGGTATTTGCACAAAGATATCTTTTTTATACCTCTTTTATGTGGTATAAAGCCATAAAAACCATTACCTGTGCCCTTTTATTAAATCTGCTTGTTTTGCTTTTAAATGTCTTGATAGCAAGAGAACAGTGTAATTAAATATTGAATGTTTAACTAAACCATGTCTATTGACATTTGGTCTAATTTGATAGAAATATCATATTCAGAAGGGGTATTTGTGAAAAGTACCAGACCCGAGAAGAAATTTCCTTCTACTACAGGCTCAAGAAATATTATCTCTCAACTAATATTTTTTTCGCAGATGCCCCTCCTATACATGATATATCTATCATTAATGATTTCCTGTATTTATCTGGATACCTGTATGTAAGTAATGCATTTGGTTAATTTTTTTTAATCAGTTATGTATTTATAATATTATGTATGAATTTATTTGATACAATTAAAGATTTTTATATTGTTACTTTTAGAGGTATTTTTTTTTTATTTAAATAGAAATGTTTAATGATGCTAAATGGACAGAATAAAAAGGAATGGTGGGAGCATTCTAAAAAACTACCAAAATAGTTTTGAACCTGCAATTCTTTCTCTGTCCTATGAGATGACAAAAATTATAGAATGGGAAAAGTGTTGCACATACCATAAATCTTTTGAAGTGCAATACTTACAACTAAATTTTGGGTCCAGCAATGACAGAATCCATATACAGGCTGAAAAGAGCAGCAAACAGATATAAGAAGATGTGGTATGAGTGAAAAGAGCAGCAAGTTTGCATTTGATGTAATGAATAGACTTTGCTTGAAAGCAAACTTAAAGGCTAGGCCAAGCCTTTTTATATACCACTATAACAGGCTGCTTTTGTCCTTTTTCAAACTATTATAGCTTAACCAGATATATTGGCATATTGCAGGAAAAAAGAGAGGGGAGATACTAAAGGGAAAATAAAAAAATCATAAGTTGAAGAGAGACTGACAATATCATGGCAAAAATACAATAAATAGGCAAACAACAATCTACAAAACACTACATAAGAAACTTAACATTGAGGAACATGAAATCACACAAAAAAAACAGGTTGATCTCAGCTGCTCCAGAAACACCTATCAGAAATAGACAAAATTAGTTACGAAAAAGTGAAATGCAATCAGAATTGGAATAACAGCCAAATTAACAATAGTTGCCGCATAGGTATGAAAGGGCTTTTTTGTCTGATTGAAAGAGCAAGATGTCAATGAAATAATTTAAGAGCCCCCCCCCCCCCCATTTAAAGAACAAAATCATCTTATTCAGATGTGAAAAGGGTATGTTAAATGCTGAATCAGTCAGAAATTTGGAGAAGTGATTGTGAGGTCAAATAATGCAACTCAATTAAATTCAATATTTTATTGAAGAATGTATAATACAACATCACATTTATTGTATAATATAGATATAGAATAGAGAGTCTTTTATATAGAATTATAGAGACTATACTACATATTAAAACATTACAAGTGTATAATAAAGATATAAAATAGAGAGCCTTTTATATAGAATTATAGAGACTATACATATTAAAACATTACAAGTGTATAATAAAGATATAAAATAGAGAGCCTTTTATATAGAATTATAGAGACTATACATATTAAAACATTACAAGTGTATAATAAAGATATAAAATAGAGAGTCTTTTATATAGAATTATAGAGACTATACATATTAAAACATTACAAGTGTTTAATAAAGATATAAAATAGAGAGCCTTTTAGGTTGCACTTTGTAAATACAGCTGTTTCTCAAACCACGCCTCTTTTGGGGAGATATAGAATATTCATAAATTATTAATTTTGTTTATATACTGGTTCCCAGTTATGATCTCTATGTTTCATCTCATACAGACATAACTTGGGAATGTTACCAGTAAATAAACATATGCATATTGTTTCTATTGAAATCTGTGGTAATCCTACAGTCAAGGTAGAGATAATTAAGAAATTTAGTGTTAGTTTAAACTCTTAGAAGTTCAGGGCATATAAACGTTGAAAATATGCTGCACAGCCCTATATTTTGACCTTTGAAAAACATTGTAGTGCATATGAACTTTCCATTCTAGGATATGATTTTTTTTAAAACTTCATAGTAAAAGTGGTACAGTTTTAGCCGTAAAAGGAGTTCCTATGGAAAATTGCATTGTCAATATTTACAGAAATGCAACCTTTATATAGAATTATAGAGACTATATATATTAAAACATTACATTAAATGTATAATATAGATATGGAATAGAGAGTCTTTTATACAGAATTATAGAGAATATACAAATTAAAACATTACATTAAGTGTATAATATAGATATATAGATATAGAATAGAGAGTCTTTTATATAGAATTATAGAGACTATACATATTAAAACATTACAAGTGTGTTATATAGATATAAAATAGAGGGCCTTTTATATAGAATTATAGAGACTATACATATTAAAACATTACATTCAGTGTATCATATAGATATAAAATAGAGAGTCTATTATACAGAATTATAGAGACTATACATATTAAAACATTACAAGTGTATGATATAGATATAAGATAGAGGGCCTTTTATATAGAATTATAGAGACTATACATAATAAAACATTACAAGTGTATAATATAGATATAAAATAGAGAGTCTTTTATACAGAATTATAGAGACTATACATAATAAAACATTACAAGTGTATAATATAGATATAGAATAGAGAGTCTTTTATATAGAATTATAGAGACTATACATAATAAAACATTACAAGTGTTTAATATAGATATAAAATAGAGAGTCTTTTATTCAGAATTATAGAGACTATACATATTAAAACATTACAAATGTATAATATAGATATAAAATAGAGAGTCTTTTATACAGAATTATAGAGACTATACATATTAAAACATTACAAGTGTATAATATAGATATAAAATAGAAAGCCTTTTATACAGAATTACAGAGACTATGAACACATATTTAGATGTATTAGGTAAAATATGAAAACATTCTATATCTATTTAGAATATGAAAATAGGTAGGATATTAGTGAATATAAGTCTAAGTTCACAGTGTTTTAACTTTGGTGACTGACTGCCATAAGAGGGAGCCCGCTCCAGTCATGCTTCAGTGGTCCCTAAATAATTAACTAAATTTTTCTTACAAAAGGGAGGGCCCGGGCACCCTGCTCCCCCTAAATCCGCTTCTGCAATTGCGGTTTTGGGCCATCTTCAGGCGTGTACAATTTGATGATAGGCTGTGATACTATGAACTAACGTAAAGATTGAAAGACGTCTTGAAAATGGTCTGATATGTGCCATAAATTTAGGGGAAATTGGCCCTGCTCTATAACATACCACATCTTCTTATTTTTATATTAAAACCTGGAAAATTAAGAGATTGTAACACATAAAAATCCCAGTAAACTAACTTCTAATAAAAAATAAGAATTACGGTGTTTTGTTCCATAGTAGTTTAGAAAGCCGAAAGACTTAAACAGGTATGAACGGAATATTGTGGACATATATAAGTAATATTTGATGTATCATTTTCTTTGACCTGTTTGACATTTCATTCCTAAATAAATGTTATGGTGACCAGACGTTCAGCTGTTATAGGTACAGATTAACTCAACATTATGACATACAAGAACATCGAAAACAGATGGAGACACGGACTCACTCAGAGTCAGGATAATGCACTTATAATCCTAAATTCAATATTTATTATAAGAAGACTTTCAATTATGAGTTATTGAATATTTCTGCACGTATTAATTCAGAACGTACATGTGTAGCATTAAAATGAGAAAACGATTATGTTACAACTAAACTATTTGAGTAAGATCTTAGTGCATTCAATTTTAAGCTTAATTGTTGTGAGATGAACCATGAATTCTGTATTTAGCTGCATTAAATATAAGGCAGATTTCCCCGTTATTTTTCATGTTTCGATTGACTAGTTACCATTGTTACTCGTTCAATACAGAATAATCACATGTTTATTGATTTATAGATCCGCATTGCAAACAGGCTAATTTAACTAATTTAAATTTGTATATATCATAATTGTTGCCCTTGTATGAACATTTTTCCGTTTTGTACACAAACTGAAGAATATACAGAAAAACTGTAAACTGCAAAAATGAACAAGAAGACTAGATTTACAAATATGCCACAAAGGCGGAAATTATCATTCCTCCACTTCTTCCAGTTGTTGGATGATGAATGTGGGTTTTTTTTTGGGGGGGGGAAGGGGTGAACTATAGAATATAGAGATAAACTGTTAGAGAGAGAAAAAAAAAAGATTAGTAAGACATGAATTTAATACTCATTTGACTTAATATACCCTTTTGAAGACTTCACGAACTAATTAATTATTTTGTCTTTCTACAATCAGAATATAACGCGTCATGTCTCCAACCGAATTTAAGGAAACTTGATAGTGCTGACCGAAAACGTTTGTGCATATTCTATTTTGTTTTTTATCCAGATGATATTTGGGGTTTTTAATAGTAAAACATGGACTTTCCCACAGTAGTTAGCTAGGAAAGAATGAACTTTTGACCTCTGCCAACAGTTTATCTTGTCATCTGTAGGATTGCATGCAACATCTTTCAGGTATGTTTTTTGTTAAAATAGTAATATGTCACAGGTTAGTTGTTATTGCTACTTTTGAACTGAATAAATATATCTATAAAAGTGTGTAAATAATACAACAAGATCGTTTCATAATCACGACGTATCAATGTTATTTGAATTAAGAACATTTTTAGTTGGACGTTTAATTTCGATAACATATAAATTTAATTCTGAATGTTTAAATGCATTAGAAATAGACAATTTTCATAGTTCATGAGTAAAATTTGAATAACTCAGATTTGACAATCCCAACACTTAGATATGCAACTGGTCAGTTGTAACGTCACAAATAGTTAATGGTAAGGGTGTAAAGAAACCTTGACTTAGATCCATATTCAGCTCTTGTTGATTTAATCAGTAGATCTAAGGATGTACACCTCTGAGGACCCAAACATTTCTAGAATTTAACTTTTTTTACTTAACCTGATTTTTGGGTTTATATGACTATAAGAAAGTAATTGATGAAGAAAAAATCATATGGTGGTGCACTTGGTTTTTTTTTTTGTCTACGGCCGTTTGAAAGTACCCAATTTTTAATGATTTTCCATATCGTGACGTTATATTTGGCAACCATATCCTAGATTGGTGTTTTTTTTATAACTAAACGCCGACCGGGGTTATATTTGAAAAGGGGGAGTATTTGGGGTCCTGAAGCTTTTTCTTTGATAGGCAATTTTCACATTATCAATCGGAATCTTCAATTGTAATAGTCTTGTTTTCAGAGCCAAACACAAAAACTTCAATTGGAATCTTCGCTTGTAATAGTTTTATTTTCAGAAGACGTTCGTCTGAACCCCTTCGAGGTATTTAGACGTGATTACATTAGATGAACCATAAGGCATAATAATAGCTGTAATCTGAAACGCCGAGCTGAGGTTTGGTTGTATGGTGGAAATAAATCGAACAAAAAGACACAAATCACACAAAAAGTAAAATCACAAAAATTCTGAACTCCGAGGAAAATTCAAAAAGGAAAGTCCCAATCAAATGGCAAAATCAAAATTTCAAACACATCAAACGAATGGATAACAACTGTCATATTCCTGACTTGGAACAGGCATTTTCTTATGTAGAAAATGGTGGATTGAACCTGGTTTTATAGCTAGCACAACGGTTTCCATGCTTTTTTCAGAAAGAAAATAGGATATAGCTATGCAATATACCAAAAGATGTATACTTATGTAATCGAATTTAACCTAATCTTCATGAAATAAAAATTACAAATATTGGTCTTAGGTGAACCTATATCTTAGGAAACAGTGACCTATATCCGTTTGTATCATACCCAATCTAATGGAAAGTTGGTTATTGTAAGATTAGACATATATACCAGCTGTTACAACTCGTTAAATAGCAATACACATAACAATCAATATTCAATTCAATATACGTTTTGTCAATATTGTTAAAACATTTTTTACATGAATCACACATTCCTGGTTTATTTTAGGTTTTTCTGGGAAAACGTTTTGCAGGAGTATAGGTTATACCGAAAAACAAACTAATTGTAACTGGAAAGTATTTGGACACTATTATAGAAAGACGTATTGCACATCAAATGCGATAAGGTAGGCACTTTAATGATGACTGAACATATAGTTACTAAATATATTTGGCACTTTTAGTTGTTCGGAAACTAAAGCCACATTATAAGATAATATATCTCTGTTAACTTTTGGAACTGAAGTTGCCTGTAATCTTATGATTGGTCTTGATCATGTGTATGCAGAACATGTTTTCTATACTGCAACTAGTTGTGTTTATTTCCTAAATAAAGTAACACAGCTATATTTTGTGCAATGTCAATTTCATCATGGATCACTTTTTCCACAATCAGGGGTTCATTAAGGGATGAAAATAAGTTTGAAATTTGTGTTACAATTTAAATAGCTATCAATGTATTAATTTAAGTTGCAGTATAAAAACAATATTAGGTCAATGTCAGAAAAATATAAACTTTTTTTTATATTCGGCACAAAACTGGGGAAGGGCTCGGTAAAACCTCGCCCTTCCCCAGTTTCTCAGACTCGTACAAAAAAGTTTATATTTTTCTGACATTGACCTAGTATTGTATACCTATTTGTGTCATCTCATTTCGTTGCTTACGTCTGCAATAACGCTTTTGTATATAATTAAAAAGAAGGAATATGATGTATTTATTGAAATTCCCAATATTAGGCTCTGGAGTGGATTTACAGAATAGAGAATAATGGATCAATCAATAAAAAAGCAGAAAAATAGACAAAAATAAAGAATATAGAATAATGGGGTGCTAAAATATAAAAAATACAAAAAAATGGGCAAAGATATAACGAATAGAGAAAAATGACCGAAGAATATAGAAATTAAGACTCACCACCGGACCCTCCGATATGTACTCGACAAAACCCGAAGCCAAGGAATTGGCTTTAATTGTATAACTGTTCTGAACCTCAAAGCTGTCTTTCAACGGCACCCACAAAAAAATTACATCTGAGTGTAAAGTAAAGATCCTCGAGAAAAGACCCATCTGAGTTGAATTGTTTAATTTGATGGTAACGCTATATCTCAGATTACTATGGAGGATGTCTATTCAAACCCCTTGTCCACAAGTGGTTAATCAAAATGTGTTTAATCTAGATATCTCTGTATCAGCACCGAAACCACCTGTCAATTCAAAAATATGATATTGCTTAGAATTCTTTGGTTTGATAGTGGACCAATTTGACAATTAAAATTTCACATCTCCAAGGGGACATACATTACCCTTATATATAAACCCTTGAGATGAAAACATCAATTTATATGTCTTTATAAAAGACCTTGTTTGTTGCTCTTAAATGTCTTATGAATTTGGCTTTCAAAACTTTTGGTCTCACGTGTTTTTAATGAAGATATGGCTTTTCTTGCGCGCTGAAATCGGCTGATATTAGCACCACTAGATTGGTGGCACTACTGTTTGTGCCAGTAGCCAGTTCTTTGTTATTGGCATATTTCAAATGATAACTGTTTATTGTTTTCGCACAGTCAATAAACTGTAATTGCATGAAAATCAATATAGCAGTTCCCAAAAGTCACATTGACCCTGGGCGATTTTGACTGTTCTATTAAGATTCGTGTTTGATGGTCGCTGATGTTTAATGGTTTTTGTTTCCCAGACATTGGGTCTTGGTCGTATCTAGCTGTTTGATGGTCTTTGATGATTTCTGTTTTCTTTGTTTCCCAGACAGTTGTTGTCGTGCGCACTAAAAAAACTAACACATATTGATATTACTATTACTAGTCTTTAAAGTCTTGAAAAATTGAGATAAGCTTTCAAATAACCAAATGGTATGCAGGACTTGTCACCTTTGCACGTGGGCTAAGTATCTTTTAGAAATGAGAAACGTAAGTCTAGCCGTATATGTTGATGTACATTATTTTGTAAGTGAACATTTCATCGATCATTACTACTCTGACTAATATGAAACATTGTCAAATGAGTTCGTTGACGTTTTAGACGCTTTTGTTAAAAAGTAATTTAATACGAAGTATACACGTTAAGACGATCTACGTAACGGTTACCTAACAGTTTTCACATCAAGCATTTGCAGATTCTTACAGATGGTAAAATAAGGAAAAGTTTAAAAGCTAATACTACGATATTTCGTGTGTAATCAACGATTTGTTCATGATCTTAGTCAAGAAGCTCTTTAGTCGTGTCTTAATGTGTTTTTGACATTTTTGGGACTTTTGGAAGACGGCAGACGTTTGATAGTCTCTGGAATTAATTCCCCTTCTCATTTTAAGACACTTTGTTTTATAAACGCCTGATATATAATGACCCAAGGCATCAAAAGAACGGATGCTCGGGTGTCCTGTTTCACGGGGGAGGGGGGCCTCAACATACAAATTTGGGTACAGACGTCCGACTGGGGTTTGAAAACCATCCCTCATTCATATATTGATTTATGCAAAAACCCCCACCCATTCATATATTTCATAGAAATATCACAACCAAACTATATATATTTCCCAACTATCATGACATCTTACTCAGACGTTAACCACATGATATCATTCATATTATTAAATAAATAGATCAGAAAACGGTTTTGACAAACATCCTAACAGAAGATGACCCATTGATATATAAATGTCTACCCATTGGTATATTACCTCCGTGAAATAGCTCCCCATTGATATCTAAAAAAATCCAAAAAGTGACCCATACCAGCGGCACGTCTGTATATACCTTTATATAGGAAGAGACCCTCCATCCATGCCCTATTTGTACACAATTTCTCTCTAATTGCAAAGAAAATACAAACATTTAATATTTTGAGATAATTTGAAATAAAAAAATGTGATTTTACGTCTTGTATAGCTTACCATTTTAACGTGTTGAATTAAATGAAAACGTCATGAAAAATAAAACTATTTAATGTCAATTTCGCAGATATATCTTGTTTCGTACCAAATGGCCAATTAAAGTGCCAATGGGCTATAGACGATCATAGCCCTTTATTGTCATTTAAAAGGGTGTTTATCAACAACATTCGAATATAAATTATTAAAGGAGGGGTTGGAAGGATGACAAAGAAGATCGACTTTGGAACTAATATCAAATGTATTTTAAAATATCATGTTGTCTGCTTAATCAAATGCTGAATTGAAAAAAAAATCAGTTTCAAATTATTGTTTGCGAAAATATTTCAGAATATATAAAAATAAGAAGACGTGGTATGATTGCCAATGAGACAAATCCCCGCAAGAGACCAAATGACACAGAAATTAACAACTATAGGTCACCGTACGGCCTTCAACAATGAGTAAAACCCCTACCGCATAGGAAATTCAGCGGAAATCAAGAAAGTTTTACTTTATAATTGAATTTTGACAAGTCACGGAAGAACTGAGATCGAACTAACCACACGTTGATTAAATAAAAATAATCAAGAGATCAGGAAAAGAATAAATCTGATAAGAATTACAGAAATAAAACTAACCAAAAAGTCAGAAAAAAAGATAACATCGACTAAAAAAGTCTAGTTATGTTAATAACCATGGAATCTGATGTTCAGTAGTTGTCGTTTGTTGATGTGGTTCATAAGTGTTTCTCGTTTCTCGTTTTTTTATATAGATTAGACCGTTGGTTTTCCCGTTTGAATGGTTTTACACTAGTAATTTTTGGGGCCCTTTATAGCTTACTGTTCGGTGTGAGCCAAGTCTCCGCGTTGAAGACCGTACTTTGACCTATAATGGTTTACTTTTATAAATTTTGACTTGGATGGAGAGTTGTCTCATTGGCACTCATATCACATCTTCTTATATCTATTCAGGTATATTACATTAATCATGCTTGCTGAATATTTCTACATCTCATTAATATGAATTAATGGGCCTATGATTAAATTTTATAACATTTTTTTCTGAAATGACGGGACCCAAGTTTAAGCTTTGAAACCCTCTTCCTTGCCACAAGATTTATATACATGCTTCTTGCACTGCAAGTACACGTTTTCCCTCTTTTTTGTAGGTATGACATCCCTCAGTTGTAATGACGTCAAACAAGACGAACCCGCCACATACAATTCCTCCACTGGCAGGGATATCTGAATCCGAGAGAGATAAATATCTTCTTATTGCCACTTTTCTCAGTGTTTTAATTATATTTGGAGTTCTGGTTGCTATAATGCATCGAAAGTGTCGTGAAACCTTATCTAGAACAAAATCTTGGGTTATTTCAAAAACCGTTCGACACCGACCAAACATAAACCGAAATAGTGCAAGATTGGGTGCCATTGAGATGAGTTTCAGAGACCCATCAAGCCCTGTGTTCAGTAAAGAGGTTAATCCGCCTCTCATGTTTTATCTTGGAAGCAGTGATGAATCTCAGTCTGGAAGGACGAGAAAATCGAGGGGACATCGAAGTTCAGGAACAGATCAAGATTCTGGAATTTCAATTATTTCCGGCAGTCCAAATATACCAATGTGTTCATTATCTAATCAATGTGTTTGTTTTGACAAAGACGTCAATGATAATGTGACATTAAATTATATTCCTCCCATCATTTCACAAGAGTCAGTGAGCTTGGTACGAGTTTTGGCGCCAGAAATCCCGGATAAAGCAAGTTCGATAACCCCAAATGACGATATCGATGACTGCAAACGGCCGAAACTTCGTAGGAGTTCTACGGTTATTGATAAAATGAATTACTTGCAAGGATATATGCCTTCATCAAGAGATGATGACTATACAGTAATAACTTTAACAGATGATTCGGAACCAGATAATCTTTCACCAGACATTTTACTTAAGAAGTTTAAATATAACGATTGTATACATTTACATGATAAAGGAAAACGTTCAAAACACTTAAGTGGTGTTGATAACCCGGCGTTTTACTTACAGAATAAAATTCTTTCAAAGTCTTTATCTGATATTAGAGCAAATGTAGACGAAAAAAGTATACAAGAGTCCAAACTTCCAAATAGGTCTTCACGTGACACTGGTAAAAAAGACAAACTTATGTATGAAAATATAGTTCACGTAGCTGAAGTACACGCACCACTGAAAATGAATCGATGTAGCAATATGTACAAAAAGAGTGAGTCTCCAAGGTCCAGTAAACGCCCAACTGCATATAGAACGTATAATATAAAAACAATAGATAAAGAAAGTCAGGAGCTCTACAAAAGGGTAATGCGTGAACGAATTCACGACATCATTCAATCAGATTCTTCAGCGTCGTCAGTGAAAAGTGATCAAACATTTGTCCGAACTACTCGTAAAAAGAAACGGAAGGCATTAAAGTCTGCTTCTTCCACTAATGTTCTGTGATATGTTATGGAAAACTTCCATTTCTATTTTTGTTATTATTTTACGTATTGTTGTTTCGATGGAGATTGCCAAAGTGATATCTCAGTTGCTCTTGTTTTAATTCGGATGTCTATAAATACTCTTCATGACAATTATTATACTGACAATCAAACACACCTTCTAATAGGAGAACTAGAATTCGAATTTCACAAGTATACCAACTAAAGATAAACGTGCACCATACCATCATTCGGGTGGAAGTCAGTATTATCATAATTTAATTTTGAATTGATGTAAGTGAGGGCGCTGGCGCCATGTTGTTGACTTTTGAAAATAAAGATTTAAGTTTTAATGCGATGTCTGACAGTGTTATTAATGAAATAAGCTTATGCATATATGATAACCGTTGGAAATTTGCGCATCATCCTATGGACGATTATCAGAAGCATAGTTTGAACATACATTGGTTTCTTTTTGAATAAAACAATATTGACTCATAAATGGCAAAAATTAAAAAAAAATTAGATGGATGTTGGCCCCACAGGAATACAACTTTAATAATAAACTTCATTTACCGCGTTCAACTGTTTGCCCCTTTTCAACAACTGTTACTCGAATTAATAATCTCAGTCAACCATGATCACAAAACATGCGTGTACTGTTTATCTGATCAGCAGAAAAGGAAAACATTGACTCATCTATTTATTCAGATAAAATATCAACACATTGATCGATCTAACTAATATACACATCTGTCATCTATTAAATATAACTTACATATTCAAAAGACGTCATCAAAAATCTTTTTATCGATCTTAGCTGAAACATGACAATATTATTAATTGACACATGTCACGAAATCAAAATTAAGAAATCAGTGTTGCGTATTTTGAATTTTATGAGTCAAAGAGTAAGGGAACAGCATAATATATCTTTCTGGATGAAACGGAAGAAATAATGGTACAGTATGGACAACATTTACGGGGATGTTCCTTTGGCCCCTTCTAACGGTGTATATATTTCAAAACTTGTTCGCTATGGCCATGCCTGCAATGACGTTTTAGATTTCAATTAATGTAATTAATGTATTACTGCTAAACGAATGATTACGTTTCCACAAATTACTTAAAACATTTACTAAATTCATCCATAATACATACATTTGGTTCGAAAGTTTGGCTGTCATTGTATAAACTTATTACAAACGGAATACCACATCCCATTATTTATATTGTTCATAGAGATCGTTATGCGAAACACAGGAGCTTCCTGATTCTTTGAATAAAATTAAGGCTACCGATGTTCAAATATCATCAATCAATTTAAAACATGCAAATAAACAAATTCTTATTTCTTTTTACATTATGTTCTTACGTTGTGGGGCTACGCCACTGATCTAGGCTAGGGAGATGTTCGATTACTCTCAGTTATGTTAACTAGTGAGATGTTTGATATCTCTCAGGTATGTTAATTAGTGAGATGTTTGATCGCTCTCAGGTATGTTAACTAGTGAGATGATTATGGTCCTCAGTAGAAAGAGACGGAATATATCAAAGGGACATTCAAGCTCACAAGTCAAAGACAAGCTGGCAACGCCATGGCAAAAAAGCCCCTCCCCAAAACAAAAACCAAAAAAAACTGACCAAAACACTTATAACAGTTTACCAAACAGAACATAGAAAACTAAAGACTGAGCAACCCCACAATAACAAGGGGAGAACACAGGTGATTCAGAAGGTAAGCAGATGCATCTTTCGTGTGGCAACCATCGTGTTACTTATTGAAAATGTAAGTACAAATTTGGTGATAGGTCTCATTTTGAGGAAAAGAGGACATGATTGTGTTTACGACAATTGACGCATATCCGTGGTGATCTGCGACACATATTACCCATAGTGCTCAACCAACTCATGAAGGCGTCCTTTAAAAAAAATCGAAGGGAAAACTTCAACGTTACCACTTGGAAACTTTGGTTCAATAGCTTCCTTGTAAGCAGCAACCGTCTATCAACAAAATGATAATAAAAAATGCAGGCTCCGGAATATCGTATAAACCCGGAGATGTATACTCCATATGCAGGATCGGCTAGCTGGAATGTTGTTATATAGAAATAAAAGTTGACAATTGGAAAGTTGAAATCATCTTTTTTGTTCCCAAACGATCCTCATAGTCAATTTCTAGATGTAATTCAAAATATAAGGTAAACTTAACTGTTTATGTGGTATACTTTATTTAAACTTTGATGGGAGTCATCAAAATTTGAATTATTTAGTGATAGGACATCATTTATTTAGCGGAACTTGAAGTTTACTCTTCCTAATAAGCTCCTATACGAAGTACGATCAGTGATAATTTATTTTATACCATCTAATTACTGTATAAGTTTGTTGATGTGTACTCTTTCCATTTTGAATGTCCCCTGGGCATCTTCCGCCCCTTTTTATAATATCTAGTTACACCTAAGGATATGTGTATCATCTAGCAGTACATGTTAAAGAATTTTGAAAGGATATTTATTTCATCAAGCAGCTCCATGCTGTAGTCGGAAAGCTGACGCAGGTTTGACCTTATTTCTTAAAGCAACTATGGAGGCTATGTGAGCACCAGAAACGGGCATATTATGGGTATTTTTTTTCAACTGAAGGTTCCTTCAAACATCATATAAACTTAAATTTGTACGTTATACACTACAATTGCATATATATTGTTTTGAAGTTCTAGTGTAAAACATTGTTGCTACTTAACGTACTTTGTTAGAATTTGAAAACTTCAAACCCGAGCTTGTGACCCTTTGCAACAATCTCAATGTCTATTATTCATAATTTATGATATGTTTACAATCTGTACGAACTTTAGGAGTTAAACTAATTAACTTTTAATCTTAATTATAACCCAAAAATCAATGTGGTGTATATTTACTACGATAATATGCGATTTCCTCAGTGTTTGTTAGTCCCTAAATTTATGACACCGTCTGTATTGTTGCGACTGAAAATGATGAATCTGTGTATTGCAAACACAGTATTTATCGCGCAGAAGTATGTCTGTTTTTGATATGCTGAATGTATAAATACGGAGCCACGTTTGAGGGGACTTTAAATGCGATATTTCGTGAAAGAATAATGCATCACTAACTGCATGCTAACGAACTCTTGTAAACGACTCTTATGGATTCCTAGGTGTCCTGCTGCAAGGCACTATTTTTGCCTTTATCAGAAATATTTTCATCCGGACATTCAGAAAAAAAAAGAAAAAAAACATTTAATCAATTTCCCTTTTAATTTTAAAACGTTTGCTTTAATGCGTTTGACCTAGAAGAACGCTTTTTAAGCAATCAAAATCGAAAACTAAATGCCTATTTTAGGCAAGCAACAATAAACAAAAAAAAAACAAACTATTTTTTACACTAAAAAGATTATATACCTTATCAATTATACATGTTACTACAATTGTATAAGCTTAATATATGATACCGGTATAATCTGACAAATATATCTTTCATGTTCCAGATTAGACATTTATCAATAAACCTCGAGATCTGACTGGTTGTGGATATAAACCTTATCACATGTAGCACTACAATTTTACATTTAACAACGGCAAACTACTCTTGTGTCTATATTATGAAGTATACCATAGATATATCTACTTATCCTTACAACTTAATACATCATAAGTACACCCGACAACTGACAACAAAGAATGAAGAAGACGAATACCTGATCATCATATCTGTCAAAAGGAAATACTTTTAGTATATAATAAAGCGTTTTGAATTTTCCTTTGAGTTCGTTATTTTTGCTATTTTACTTTTTATCACTCTAGATGCCAACCCATGTCATCTGTTTTTTTTTTTCATGTTATTTCAGGTTTTACTCCTAGATTATGAATTAAACAGAATGTGGGGTTTACGGTAGTGCGACAACAAAACAGTAATCAACCTTTAAATTAGAAAACTCGGAAACGCAAACCCCCATATTCATTTACAATGTATTCTTACCCATGCTTCCGTGTTGTTTTTTGTATACTGTGTCTTTTTGTTCTTTTTTTTTTGGCAATTACTTTATGTAGTTAGTCCTTTAATCACTATAAAGGAAGTTCTACCATCGGATGAACGTTAATGAGACAACGCACCAGCTGCAAAACCTAAAGGCTATAGCGAGCATTCGTTTATCATATATCATGCCATTGATATGAATTTATATTTCAAGTCTAGATAAAATGTATGCAAAAATGTCTTCATCGATAAAAGAGGGACGAAAGATACCAGAGGGATAGTCAAACTCACAGATCGAAAACAAACTGACAACGCCATGGCCAAAAATAAATGACAAACAGACAAATAATAGTACAGATGACACAACATAGAAAACTAAAGACTAAGCAACACGAACCCCACCAAAAACTGGGGGTGATCTCAGGTGCTCCGGAAGGGTAAGCAGATCCTGCTTCACATGTGGCACCCGTCGTGTTGCTTATGTTATTACAAATCCGGTAAATAGTCTAATTCGGTAGGTCACATTCGTGAAAAGGGAAGGGTATTGTATTTACGACATAAGGAACATATTCGATATCATCTGTGAAACGGTTATTCCATAACGGTAAAAAAAAACTAAAATCACAAAAATACTGAACTCCGAGGAAAATTCAGAAAGGAAAGTCCCCAATCAACCAACTCGTGATGGCGTCCGTAAAATTTACGAAGGGATGATTTCAACTTCACCATTTGGAACTCTTGGTTTAATAGCTTCCTTGTGAGCAGCAATCCTCTATCAAGGAAATCATGATAGGAAAACTGCTTTCGTCTTAATTTCACTTAAGTTAACTTATAATGCAACTTTTGTCTTAGGTCTCAAAAACGAATATCATATTAAGTGTTCGAATTATTTCACATACTCACTTCCATAATCATTAAAATTTCAAGTTCGTGCATTAGACCTTTCGATCACGACTTCTGTCATACAATACTTGATAACTTCTACCATTAAAGAGCTTAACTGATAAATGTTGTCCATACATGCCAACACATTGTTTTGGGTTTCATGGAGATTCTTTCATTTATGATATATATAATAACATTAACGATTCTATTATTTCTGCACCATAATAAGTCTTAGTTTTTCCTCTAGTTGTTTTCATTTGTGTGCTGATTTGTTTTATTGTGGGCGTTATTTTAAACCTAAGTATAGTAACGTTCGACATTTGACCGTTCTAAATCAATACTCAGAATAACCTTAATTTATGACTTGACAAAAAACAAGTAAAGCAGAATAATCATATAGCTATAAATATAGAATAATCAACAAACTATTCCAAAACGTTCTCTAAAAAAAGTTGTTTTTTTCCGGATGT